ACCTGTAATCCCAGCACTTGGGAGGCTGAGGCAGGAGGATCGCTTTGAGTTCAAGACCAGCTTGGGCTACATAGTGAGTTCCAGGTCAGTCTCAACTACATAGTGAGACCCTGTCTCAAAATAAAATAAAATTAAAATAATAAAATTAAAATAAAATAAATAAAATAAAATAAAATAAAATATAAAAATAAAAATAAAAGAATCAATAAATAGAATCTGAAGTCCTAAAAGCTCTAGTTCCTATACACAAGTCCTAAAAGTTTGGCCATTTTCTGTTTTCTCCTCCTCTGATTTCTCCTAACTTCAGAATCTATTAAGAAAAAGGTAACTGCATCAACTTTTAAAAACTTTCCTGATCTCACTTCACCTGCCTCACAAGCACAAGGTCCCGAGTTCAATCCCCAGTACCAAAAAAAACTTTCCTGATCTCTGCAAAGTGATTTATCATATAAACTTGTTCATATTAAATATCTTATAATGAAGCATCCACTTATCTAACGCTTCACCACCAGGCATGATGGTGCATACCTATAATACCAGCATTCTGAGAGGCTTAAGCAGAAGGACCTCAAGTCCAAGCCCAATTTAGCAAGACCCAGTCTCAAACAAACAAACAAACAAACAAACAAAATGCAGATTAAGGGAGCCTGGGGATATAGCTCAGTGCAAAAGCCCTGGGTTCAATCCCTAGTATTGTAAAAAATAAAATAAGCTTCGTCAGAAATTGAGTCCACATGGCCTAGTTACCTCCATTTCCTCAATAGCAGCCTATATCTAGAGAACAGGGAGCTTATAACTGCTGCAAATGGAGTTACTAAGGTTCCACACACAGACTTTTCCATTTCCCCAATACATATAATTCACCTAACAGTTTTTGGAATAGGATCAGAACAGAAAGAAGCATCAGGCATTTTTTTTCTTTTATAAATCTCAGTCTGTGCTGAGAGAAAATGTATAAATTTCACTGAACTTTGAAATACCCATTTTTACAATGGCATCATACAGCCAGAAAAACTGGGTTTAGCAGTATGTCTTTAAATCACCTAATACTAGGCCTTAAAGTTATCCTGTAAAATATCCAGTTAAGCATAAAAGCTTTATCTTTAAATATCTAACCAAGCATAAAAGGGAGCTTACCAAAGTATGCACAAGGGCCCTATATAATAACTACCTAGTGTGAATGTAATACATGTAATTGTACATGCCATTTACCTAGCATACATATAATCAAGAGTTGCTGTTTAAAAAATAATAATAAATGAACATAACCTGAAAAGGCATGATTAATATAAGTGGATTTAGTATAACTATTAGTAAGCTCTGTTTTAATTAGGCATGTCTGTTCACTGTTCAAACTTCAAAGCAAGGGTTCTATACTAATTATTTATATAACTCGTTCCTTTGACCCTAGAACAATACTCAAAGGAGGGAATTTGCAATACTATGAAAAGAGAGACCTTAACCACACAAGATAGTTACCACTTTCACTCACTGCTCTACACTTTGAATTTAAGTTTCCTATAAAATTACAAGTGGAATTCCAATCAAATCACTCAGAAATGGCCAGAAGGAAAAGGAGGTAGGCCCATATGAAAAAAGAATGACTCTAAAAATATAGAAAGGGAGATACTATTATAAAGCATGCTTAAGAGGTATGACAGAAATAGCCAGAATAGCATACTTTAACATTCATTTCCCAGAAATTGTGGAGCAATTGGTAAGAAACAAAAATCAGAAATATTTAAATGAAAATTAACTTGCGGGGGGGTCACTCACTTTTTCTCTTGCTTATCTGGACCACTCCTTTAAGTATTTTTAGCACAACCTTGACCGCTTCAAATCCACACAACTTGGACATGGGAGTTCACCATACAAGAGTTTTAGAGACTAACAGCATTCTCTATAAGCACAGAGGCCTCCAACAAGCACACTATGAGGCCAATCATATTCTGCCTAGGCAGCTTTGAGTACTGCTAACCACAGTTAGAAATCCCAACACCTCAAGAAACTACTCAGCTATGAAGAAAGTTCCACACAGCCCTTACCTGTGTGAGTGCAGAACACTCCACATACTTGACAGCCTTCAGATCACGGGCCAGCTTTTCAGCAGTCTCTGGAGTGATAGGTTTCTGTTTGTTCTTGGCAAGTTTCTCAATAGTAGAGGGGTCATCTCTGAGATCAATTTGGGTCCCAACAAGCAAGAAAGGAGTCTTTGGACAGTGGTGAGTTATCTCAGGCACCCACTAAAAAAAGGGTATTTTGTTAATCCACAGCCTCTAAAGCTAATATGATAGGTCAAAAGAAATTCTATGATGACCTTTTATAGAGGAAGGTATCAAACAACTTACCTTTTCTTTCACATTTTCAAATGAGGATGGAGAGACCACTGAAAAACAGACTAGAAATACATCTGTTTGTGGATAACTCAATGGTCGTAATCTGTCATAATCCTCTTGTCCTAAGAAAAAAATTGAAGAGAAGTCAGTAAGTAAACCTCAGTGTCCTTAAAAGTCACAAATCAACAAATTAAGAATATAATTTAAGGGCTGGGGATTTAGCTCAGTGGTGCCGCTGCCTGCCTTGCAAGCCCAAGGACCCAAGTTCAATCCCCAGTACCAAAAAAAGAATATAATTTAAGAAGTCAGGCGCAGTGGCTCATGCCTGTAATCCCAGCACCTGGGAGCCTGAGGCAGGAGGATTGCTGCCAAGTTCCAGGTGAGGCTGCCTGGGCTACACAATGAGTTCAAGGCCAGCCAGGACCACACAAGACCTTGCCTCAAAAGGAGGTGGAGGGTATTCGGCTCAGTGGCACCCTGCCTGCCTCACAAGCAGGTCTTGAGTTCAATCCTTGGTAACAAAAAAAAAAAAAAGCATTTAATAGTACACTGATCATTAGCCATAAATCAACTTATCTATTAAAATGTACGGTTCAATAATATAATCGGGCAATATTCTCACTCAGTTAATTCTACTTATGTCAAGACCTTTAAACAACAGTGAATTTGCTGCTGTATTATTTGCTTTTATTTCTAGTTTGTAGTTTTTAGTCTTTGTCTCCACTAGTAAAGCAACAATAAGCTATTGCTACAGATGGGTAAAAATCAATCCTAACAAGCAATCACAGTGAAACTACATAAGAAAACAAAAAAGGGGGGCCGGGGATTTGGCTCAGTGGTTCTGCCGCCTGCCTCGCAAGTGCAAGAGGCCCGAGTTTAATCCCCGGTACAAAAAAAAAAGCAATGGTCCACCATGACTACCAAAGTTGGTTACATGTTTAGTTCATATGTGAATGTAAGACCAGGATCTGAAACTGTGAAGATCTAGAGGGGAAAAAGTTGGCAAGAAACAATGGATATTTAAAAAGAATAAAAACAGGGCTGAGGATTTAGCTCAGTGGTTCTGCTGCCTGCCTTTCAAGCACAAGGACCCAACTTTGATCCCTGGTACCAAAAACAAAAACAAAACAAAAAGAATAAAAACATTCAGGAATTAACCAGGAAGTGAACAATCTGTACAAAAAATAAATAAATAAAACACTGCTTAACGAAATTAAAGAAGACACAAATAAATGGAAACATACTTCATATTCAAGGACTGGAAGAATATTTATTGTTAGGATGTCCATACTAATCAAAGTAACCTACAGATTGAGTACAATCCCTATCACAATTTCAAAGAATTTTTTAGAAAAATTATTAGAAATAATGTTTCATTGTTAGAAACAATGAAATTTGAAGGGAGGGCTTGGGATGTAGCTCAGCAGTGCCATGCCTGTCTGGCCAGCGCAAGGTTCTAAGTTCAATTCCCAGTACCAAGGGGAAAAAAATTTTTTTAAGTGATTCTGAATACCCAGAGCAATCTTGAAACAAAAAAATAAAGCCAGAAGACTCATACTTCTGATTTCAAATCTTACTACAAAGCTACAGTAATTAAGAACAGAGTGATGCTAGCCTAAAGCAGACATACAGACCAACAGAACAGAGAACCCAGAAATAAAACTTCACATATATGGTTAAATGAATTTTTACAAGACTGCCAAGACCAATGAGAAATAAAAGAATACTCTTTATAACAAACTGGATATCCACATGTAAAAGAATATAAACTTGGAGCTGCTCTTACAACCACATACAAAAATTAACTCAAAATGAATCAAAAACCTAAATTTAAGACCTAAAAACAAAAAATTCTCAGAAAATATGGGGCAAAGCCTCACAGCATGAAACTTGCCAATGACTTTTTTGTTTTGTTTTGTTGGAGGAAGGAAGGATAACTTCAAAAGCATCATAGGCAACCAAAGAAACACTACACAAATTAGATTTTGTGAACATTAACTTTTATGTACCAAAAGCCAGTATCAGAGCTAACAGGAGAGCTCAGCAATACAGTGTTTGTCTACCATGCACCAAGCCACTGAGTTCTATTCCCATATCTTACCCTCCCCCTCAAAAAAGACAGTATTAATGGAGTCAAAAGGCAATCCACAGAATGGGAGAAAATACTTTCAAGTCATATATTTGATAAGGAATTAATCTCCAGAATTTATAGAGGACTTTTTTTTTTTTCTGGAGACAAGGTCTCACTATGTAGCCCAGGCTGGCCTCAAACTTGTGGAAGTCCTCCTGCCTCAGCCTCCTAAGCACTTGAATTATAGGTGTGTGCCACCATGCACAGCCTATAGAGAACTTTAAAACTCAAAAACCTAATAACAATAATTGAAAAATGAGCAATGTTACATACCTGTAATACCAGAGCACAGGGGGCTGAGTTTAAGACCAGCCTGGACTATACAGTGAGTTCAAGTTTGGTCTTGATTACATAGCAAGAACCAGTCTCAAAACAAAACAACAACAAAAAAAAAACCAGGGGGGATACCCAAAGGTCTCAAACAAACATTTCTCCAAGCCACATAAATGGGCAATAAACAAATGAAAAGATGCCCAATATCACTAATTGTTAGGGAAATGCAATTCAAAACTACAAGGAAGCCAGGCATGCACCACACACCCGGTAAATCCAGCTACCTGGGAGGCTGAGGCAAAAGGTTGCTTGAGTTCAAGGCCAACCTGGGCAACATAATGAAAGCCCCATTTAAAAAATGAAGAAAAAAATCACATAAAGGTACAAAGTCCCAATGATGAATGTCATCATAGTGTATACCTAAAATGTACCAATAAACAAAAAAAAGAAAAAAGAAAAACAGCCCAAAAAAACCTACAATGAGAGACCACCTCACCATTTGTTAGGATGGCTACTATCAAAAAACAAAGTGTTTGACAAGGATGTGGAAAAATTGAACCCTTGTGCACTGTTGGTAGGAATATACACTGCCACTATGGAAAAATGGCCCTCAAAAAATTAAGCACAGAACTACCACATGATCCTATAACTCTATTTCTGGATATATACATACCCAAAAGAACTGAAAGCAGAGACCCAAAGAGATATTTGTTTGCTGCTTGCTTGCTTGTTTTCTAAGACATGAGCTATGTACTTTTCTGGTTGTCCTTAAACTCACTACATAGCCCAGGCTAGCCTCAAACCTAGGGCAGTCCTTCTGTCTCAATATCCCAGGTCCTGGGATTACAAGTGTGCACCACCATGCCCAGCATCAAAGAGGTACATATTTGTAAACTTATGCTGACAGCAGTATTATTCACAAGGAAAACACGGAAGAACCTCATGGCACCAATACTCATAACAGCTTAAAAGCTAATCCCACAAGTCCATCAACTTATAAATGGATAAACAAAGTATGCTATGTTCACAGAATGGAATACTGTTCATCAATAAAAAGCAATAACTGCTGATACACATAACAACATGACTGGCTCTCAACGCACTATGCTAGGCAGAAGCAGTCAAAACACAAGACCATCCATTTTATGATTTGATTTATATGAAATCCCTGAAAAGCAGAACTACAAAAACCTAAAAGGCAGTTACCTGCACCGGGTCAGGGAAGCAAAGGACTGACAGCAAAAATGGCACAAGGACACTTTTTAGGGTGATATCAATGTTATATACCTTGACTATGGAGGACAAAATTATCAAACTGTACTTGAATTTTATTGTATTGTACATCAGTAAAACTTTTAAGTATTAACTAAATAGGCAAAGACTGACAAAAAAATAAGCTTTGAAATTTGAAAATATTTTAAATTCATTTTCAACTACAAGTGCAGGTACCCAAACTTTTTTTTTTTTTTTTGATACAGGGGATCAAACTCGGAACGTTGAGCATGTGAGGCAGGCAGCAGAACTACTGAGCTAAATCCCCGGCCCACCAAACCATCTTTTCTCAGCATGTAGATGTCCCTGTCCAAAGGCACAAATAGCCGGGTGTGGTGGAGCATCCATTATCCCAGCACTCAGGAGGCTGAGGCAGGAGGATCACTGTGAGTTCAACACCAGCCCGGGCTACATAGTGAGTTCCAGATCAGTCTAAACTACATAGTGAGACCCTGTCTAAAACAAACAAACAAACAAACAAAGGCACAAATAAACAGAAAATAATCTCTCTTCTCATGAAATTATGGCTCATTATTCTATATATATTCTATTTATATTCTAAATGAATCATTTTTTCTATTTTCTAACTTTATTATTTTTATAATGTTTAACTCATTAAAAGTTTCTCTAAACTTATTTACTATTTTCTCTCCATTTCACCTTCCCAAATCCGTAACTGTAAATCCAGACAGCTCTTCAAAGTGCACAATATAATGTACTCTATGAGAATAGTGTGCTAGCTGGCAGACAATGACAGAGTAAACTCATAAAAAGAAGAGAGTGGGGTGGGGGCCCCTCAGTGGCACCACGCCTGCTGACAAAAGCACTGACAAACACAAGGTCCTGAATTCAATCCTCCATAATGACAAAAAAAAAGAAAAAAGAAGACAGTTTAGAATTCCTACATATTAAAAGGATACCCTGCCTTGCAAGAGCAAGGACCAGAGTTCGATCACTGGTATCAAAGGGGGGGGCACCTTTCTGAGATTTTCTTTTGGCTAATTGAGCTGATAAAGAGACTACACAGAGAGAAAGAAAATGTGTAGTCTATGTTAGAAACAAACAGGAAATATAATGAGGAATTAGGTACATTTAAGAAAGAAACTTGTTCTTACAATTTGGATAGCTGACAACAAATGTCAATATTGTAAACTAGATACCAGTTCACTCTCAAAATACTTTTACATATAATTTTTGTTTTGTTTTGTTTTGTTTTGAGACAGGGTCTCACTATGTAGTTTAGACTGATCTGGAACTCACTATGTAGCCCAGGCTGATCTCGAACTCACAGCGATCCTCCTGTCTCAGCCTCCTGAATGCTGGGATTATAGGCATGCACCACCACGCCCAGCTCTTTCATATATAATATAAATAACACACTACTTATCTAAACATGTTGCACAGGTAACTACAGAAGCCTTCACATAAAAGAATAAGCATAACAAACATCACACATGGCTTACAAACTTACACTCTGGGCATATTTAGGAAACTATGGGCTTTACAAAATGAGAAGGTCAAGAGGAAGGGAGGAGAGACGGTAGGTATTTTTCCTCTAAATTTGTTTGCTTAGTCTCTTCCTAGCCACTAACATAGTCCCCAAGTCACTACACAGTGCACACATCAATTACAGCATATGTAATAAATTGCTCTCACTTGATCTTCCACTACACCACCCACCGAGGGTACTCCAAATTCTTATTCACCATCCTAGGTTTCAAACTGCTACTTTGTCACACCAACCATCATTGTATTTAATCTTGAGAAACTATTAACAAAAGGTAAGTGGCCTGCTAATTTCCCAAAAGTCCAAAAAAAGACACAATCACCAACTGTTACAGTTACAGATCAAAACATTATAAAGATATTTAAGTTTTTACCTGCAGTATCAAAAAGCCCAAGAGTATAAGGCTCTCCACCAATCATAACTGTGACTGCATAGTTGTCAAAAACCTAAAAACAAAAACATATAACACTATTAGAGGATAAAGAGTGGGTCAAAAGTGGGATAAGACAATTTCTAAGGCAACATTTCTTTCTAAGATGTTGTTTGTCTTCCCTTAGTCTATCTTGCTTATATAACCAACTTTGCCACCTATGCTCTTTGTTCTATGAGTTGAATAGTTCTTAGAAAAAGTGACACAAGGGCTGGGGCTTTAGCTCAGTGGTTTCACTGCCTGCCTCCAAAGCACAAGATCCTGAATTTGATCCGTGGTCCAAAAGAAAGGAAAGGGGAAAAAAAAAAAAAGAAAGGAAAGGAAAGGAAGGGAAAGGAAGGGAAAGGAAGGGAAGGGAAGGGAGGGGAAGCGAAGGGAAGGAAAAAGAAAGTGACACAGTATGTACTGGGGATGTCTGCTCTACCCCAGCAGACTGGATAAAGAGCTACAAAGTGTTGGAGGTAAAACATGAATGAGTCCTCTAGCTGCACAAAATGATCCTGGTAAATTTGCAACTTTTATGACAGTGGTTAACCTCAAAAATCAATCTGGCCGGGTGTGGTGGCGCACGCCTGTAATCCCAGCACTCGGAAGGCTGAGGCAGAAGGATCACTGTGAATTTGAGACCAGCCTGGGCTACATAGTTGGGCTCCAGGTCAGTCTCAACTACATAGTCTCAAAAAACCAAAAAAAAAAAAAAAGATCAATCTGACTTCTAAAGAACTACTTCTTCACAGACCATTTTCTTTTATCATCTAGAATTTCCTAGATCCATGATAATCTTTTTTTATTTTCAGGGTCTCAGATGCAAAGAACTTCAATGCGAACAAAATGGATTGAAAGAAATAAATTATTTAAGGGAAGTATTGTATCTAAGAAAAGGCTGACTCTGCCGCCTGCCTTGCAGGCACAAAAACCTGAGTTCGATCCCCAGCACCAAAAAAAGAAAACAAAAAAAAAGACTGACAAATTATTCATTGAAAATTTTATGAATAAAATTCACATTGAACTAGAGATGCAGCTTACTGGTAGGGCGCTTGACTGAGCACAATGCAAGGTCCAGGATCTGACCCCCAGCAACGGAATAATAAAATTTTTTAATACTTGCAGCTCTGTACAAACCACATTACCTGCAATATCTCCTTGGACTAGATGCTTTATTCCACAAACCTATTTAACAAACTCAGTATATAACTAACATTGGTTATACTGTACTATTATTTATGAAAATGAGAGATACATGCATTAAAAGGGAAAAGACCAAACAGTAATTCATGGTTTTCTCTGAAGTACTATGTAATGGAAAAACAATGTTTTCATATACAACTACAACTGTGTCAATTTACAAAAATTTTCTTAAATTTTTTAAAAATGCCTAATATTTTTAAGAAGAAAAGCAATGCTTCCAACTGGGAGAACAGCCCTGCTTAACATTCACAATGGGGCTGTAATTTGTATGTCTCACTGCCAGGTGGCTTGAACTACAGGGGGTACATGAATGATTGTCCCTTGGGCAGCTTTTAATTAATTTTATTAGTAAAAAGATCAATAAAAATGATCAGATCTGTTTGTACCACCAGTGGTACAAACCACCCAATGGGACAGGCATGTATGTTCCACCAGGGGTTCAATGCAACAAGAACATACTAACCTTTTAGCACTCACTCTAATGTGTTGGCTTTTTTATTTGGTCTTTTGAGACAGGGGTCTTGTTATGTAGTTCAGGCTGGCATCAAACTTACTATGCAGCCCAGGCTGGGAAACTCACCTTCCTGCCTCAGTCTCTGGTGTGCTGGGATTACAGGCATGCGCCACCATACCCAACTGATCCATGTTTTAATGAGTTAAGAACTTGTTTAAACTGAGCATGGTGGCTGGGCGTGGTGGCGCATGCCTATAATCCCAGCACTCGGGAGGCTGAGGCAGAAGGATTGCCGTGAGTTCGAGACCAGCCTGGGCTACAAAGTGTATTCCAGGTCAGTCTCAACTACACAGTGAGACTCTGTCTCAAAAAAAAAAAAAACTGGGCATGGTGACTTCAAGGTCAGTCTGAACTACATGGGAGACAACAACAAATACAAAAAAGGGTTGTGAATGTAGGGTATATAGGCCCTGGGTTTAATCCCAGTAAGTACTGAAAGTGGGGGAGGAGGGCTGCTTTAAAAATAGCCCTGTGGGCTGGGGGCTCAGTGGTTCCACCACTTGCCTCAAAAAAAAGCACAAGGTCCTGAGTTCAATCCCTGGTACCAAATGAGTAGCCCTCATTTGCTAAACTATTCAAATACAAGACCAGACTAAGAATCAGAAAGTGCCAGACATGGTGGCTGACGTAGGAGAACCACTTAAGCATAGTAGTTCAAGACCAGCTTGGGCAACATAACAAAACTGAAAGTAAAATAGGACCAAAAGAATCAGAAAAACTGTCATTTACATTCCAGACTCTGTTCATACTAGTGTTTGATCACTTAAAAGTGCTAAATCACATCCCTAAATTGGGCTTGAATTCCCTCATTTTTAGGAGATGAACAAGATGATAAGTACAATTCCTTTAGCTCTAAAATTCTATTTTAGAAATGGTAACTCAATTCATGGATGGACATTAATATACATTTTACACCAAATCCATTTCCATAATAACTTTATGGGGGGGTGCTAGGGATCAAACTCTGGACCTTCAGCTTGTGAGGCAGGCACAGTGCCACTGAGCTAAATCCTTGGCCCCTCCCTCCAAAAGAACTTTAACAGGTACCATGAGTACACTATTTGGGCTTCATTATCTATTTACTTAAGTAGGATCATGTACAACTTCTATTATTCTTCCTCCTCCCTATCCTTTTCAGAGACCTACATAAACACATTTAAAACAAGCCCACCTTTAATGTAACACCAAGGAATAAAAGTCCAAAAACAGTCTCGGAAACCATGCTCACAAATAAATAATATTAACAGATAAAATCCTGATGGTAACCATGCTCACAAATAAATAATATTAACAGATAAAATCCTGATGGTTGTCCTGGTTTTGAAACAAGATTCATGTATCTCCTAAAGTTCTCCACAATCTCACAAAGCCTTCCATTTATACTATCCCCAAATAGACCAGCTCAAAACTCTGACTTTGTATCTAATCATACCTTCAAACTCGCTCTCTCAAATAAACTGCATATTCTTTCTTCCTATAGTCTCGTTCTAACTCAGTCACTTTACATGCCTGGGGATAATACAGAGACTATCACTTCTAACTGAACGTAATTACCAAGTCTGTATTCACCTTCCTGACGAGGCTCTTTGTATCTCCAAAGATTAATCTAAAGTACTCATACATGTTCTTCCCTCTTACTTATAAAAATACTAGTCCCAGGCCAGGGATTTAATTCAGTGGTTCCACCGCCTGCCTCACAATCACAAGGTCCCAAGTTTGAACCCCAGCACCAGAAAAAAAATTTTAAAAAAATACTCATCCTACATTAATCACACATCAATTCCTTAAAATAGACTGGGCATGGTGGCACATGCCTGTAATACCAGCACTTGGGAGACTGAGGCAGGAGGATCGTTGTAGTAGAATCTCAACTGGGCTACACAGTGAGTTCTAGGCCAGCCTGAATTACATAGTGAGAGCCTGTCTCAAAAAAAAAAAAAAAAAAAAAAAAAAAAAAAAAAAAAAAAAAAAAAAAAAAAAGACTCAAAAAAAAAAAAAAAAAAAAAAAAAAAAAAAAAAAATCAATCAATCAAAAAAAAAGAATATGTTTGCTCAGTTTAATGAATGAAAAAATTTAATTATTCTATTTTATTTAAAGTCAACGATATTTGTATTTACACATGTGTTATTTAATTTATATGTATAAAATGTTTATATTTTGTTCAAATTAAATATTATAGGTCTTAATAAGACTTTGAGCACACCATAAAGTTTTAAATTTTTTTTAAAAAATCAATCAATCATTCAATCACTCCTAACTTAACTGAGATGTTTACTGCCACGTCAGGCCAACATCTCAACTCCCTTCTCACCACTGACCAGACAAGCTTCTCACATCATGATACCACTGGGTTGGTCAAACAAGTTGGGAGAAGCAGTAGATCCCCAAACATCTGCTTTCTTCACAAATAAGTGTCACTCTTTCACCTCATTACCTTTATTATTCCTATGTTCCCTCTACCTCCCAAGGAGTTGATAGGTTCTATCTATATTCTCAATGGAACAAGTGTGCTCTGCCCCTAGGAACCAATATGGAGCTGCATTATTGCTAAGAGAACAGCTCTACAAAATAATTGGAGACATACTATTTTTTCTGAAGCAAGACCTCAGTTGGCAACCCAGGAGGCTTCCAAGAATTGATGGATCATTGGCCAAAATATCAAAGAAAAAAAGAGAGAGAGTGAGCCAGGGATTTAGCTTAGTAGAACCACACCTGGCTCCCAGGCACAAGGTCCTGAGTTCAATCCCCAGTACCAAAAAAGAAAAAAAAAAAAGTCATCTTATTCAAGATGTAGATCGCTTCTCAGCCTTTTGGCTAAGATCGAGTGAAGATGTAGAGCATACTTTTGTCCAAACTGAGATCACCACTCTTTACAATCTTGTCTCCTGAAGTTCTGCCTCCCAGCACTGCTTGCAAACCCTTGTCTCACCCCTTCTGACATCCCACTGATTTCTCTTTTTCTTTTTGGTACCGGGGAATGAACTCGGGACCCTGTATTTGCGAGGCAGGTGGCAGGAACCACTGAGCTAAATCCCCAGCCCTGATTTCTCAGCTGTTTATAAAGTATACATAATTTACCCATGAGAAATCAAGATCTTTAAAAAGAAAGAAAGGCAGGGGCCGGGGATTTAGCTCAGTGGTTCAGTGGCCGGCCTTGCAAGCGCAAAGACCCAAGTTCAATCTCCGGTACCAAAAAAAAACAAAAAGAAAGAAAGGCAGACAATAGAAAAATTTCAGTGCACACAAAATTTTCAAAGGGTTTCAAATTATAATACATTTCACTAACAGGTGGAAGCCCTTATACTTACGGTTGGTACATATTCAGATGGAAATTTGTTTGTTGTATAAGATATCAGGAGACATGTTTTACCAACAGCACCATCACCCACAACAACGCACTTAATTGTCTGCATTGTGGATATAGTTTAAATGTTTCAAATTTGATGTTGACCTACAAAAAAAATTAGATATTTATTTTAGTGATTTGAACTTATATATGTACTAGCAACAGATTCAATAATTCAGAGAAAGAGCAACACTAGCACAACAACAAAAGGCTGAAAGAACCTAAAAGGAAAAATTCTGACAGGCTCAGAGGTACGGTAATAAAGAGTCAATTCTTCTAAGTTTCTCATTCCTGGTTATTTCAACTCCTTACTCTTATTTTGTTTAGCTTTTTAAAATCCGAAGTGGTACAATGAGCAGTAAATTTTTTTTTTATAATGAAGGAGTAGAGGTGCCAGGGATTTAGCTCAGTGGTGCCACTGCCTGCCTTGTAAGCACAAAGTCTTGAGTTCCTGGGCACCAAAAAAAAACAACTAAACAGTATAATGAAGTAGAGAGGCTGTATCAGGAAGAGTTCCATACAGTGTGCTGTCACCTGGATGTGTACACACACGTATATGCCCACATGCAAACTAGACCACAACACAAAGACCACTGATTCCCCCCCTCCATGCTGGGGACTGAACCCAGGTCCTTTGCACTGAGCTACAACCAAAGGCCATTTTTGGGGTTTTTGTTTGTTTTGAAAAGTTTGCTTTTGAGACAGGATCTCGAGTCTCATTTTGTAGTTTGGGCTGGCCCTGAACTCACAATATATAGTCCTGGCTGTCCTTGAACTCTTGGAGATCCTCTTGCCTCAGTCACCTGAGTGCTGAGATTACAGGGGTGCAGCCATCGCGCTCAGCCCCAGACCACTTCTTTAAAGACAGTTCCTTTACCCAGCCTTAGAGCTAAAGTTACTCAGGCTATAACAAGCAGTAGAGCCCCACCACCACCACCACTGCCCCTGCTCCCAGAATATATGAGAAACATGAGGAAATGGGCAAAAATCCTTGATCTAAGCAGCTGTTGCTCCACCAAGCTGCCTAGTTACTAGTTCAATATTCATGGCATGAAGAATCCAAACCCTACATTTTTACAGTGAAAAAGTTTGATCCCTCTAAAAAATAACAGCTTATAAACAATCACTTTACCTTCTTTTACTGTAACCTCTTTTTTTATTCTTTTTCTTTTTCCTGTACCAGGGATCGAACTTGGGACCTTGTGCTTGCAAAGCAGGTGGTAGAACCACTGAACGAAATCCCTGTCCCTGTCTCTTGATCTTTAAACCTATTCTTGTTTTTGTTTTGGTGCTGTGGATTGAACTCCAGACCTTGTGCTTGTGAGGCAGGTGGCAGAACCACTGAGCTAAATCACCGGCCCTGTAACCTCCATTCTAAAATAGTACTGATTATAAATGCACCAGACTTACTGTATTTCATCAATATTGAAATATTTTTGTCACATTTAAACAGAATGTCTAAAACTAGAATGTGACCTTACTGAAAGTGCCTTGCAATCATTATCAGGGTTTTCCACCCAAATTTTGATACCTATGAAATTTAGTGGTGTAAGCCTATAATCCCAGCGCTGTGGGAGGCTGAGGCAGAAGGACCAAAAATTCAAGCCCAGGCCAATGTGCCCATGGTGGCACATGCCTGTAATCCTAGCACTTGAGAGCTGAGGCAGAAGGATCACCAAGAGTTCAAGCCCAACCCCTAAACTTCCTAGCGAGACCCTGTCTCAAAAAAAAAAAAAAAAAAAAAAAAAAAAAAAAAAAAGAAAAAAAATCAAGCCCAGCCTGAATAATTTCAGTACACCAGGTCTCCAAATTCAAAAAGGGGTAAGGGACACGATTCAGTGCAAAGGCCCTGGGTTTAGTCCAGTACCGCTAAGAGGAGGGAAGGGAAGGAAGGAAGGATGGATATTGGGAGAGAAAGAAGGGAGAGGGAGAAAATGGGATGAAAGAATCTTAAATTCAATGAAATATTTATTTTTTCTGAGAGAATTTAAAAATAAAAGCCCTGTGCATATAGTGCCTAGATTTTAAGATACAGTCTCATTTCAATTACAATCCTAAAAGGGTCACAATTCCTTGTTCGCTAGATGTGCTACACACCCACCTAACTTACCTAAATATAGACACATATACTGGGTGCCATGCTATGTGCTCCTATAGATCCTTTCACAGTTCAATTTTTGTTTTGTTTTGTTTTTTGAGACAGGGTCTCTCTATGCAGTTCAGTCTGACCTTGAACTCACTATGAAGTTCAGACTGGCCTTGACTTCGAGGTGATCCTCCTGCCTCAGTCTCCCACATGCTGATTACACTTGTGTTCCACCACTCCTTTCACAGTATTTAATCATGATTTATAAGTGCCTATTAATGTTTCTGTACTTAAGTCTATACCAGCTTACATACCACTGTACTTTGGGGTACTTGGCACAAAGACTGGCACAGTCTTTGTAGTTGAATAGTTGAATGGATGCAAAAATCACATTACAAAAAGTACATTAGGTGTGAGTAATCACAGAAAATACACTCTCCCATTATTCGTCAAACTATTGAGACTAAATTTTTCTTTATTCAACTTCATTTGTCCTTTTCCTTCTCTCTTCCCTATTACGCACTAAAAAGCATTCCTAGAAATACTGCATAGTACTAATGATCCTCGCCTAACTTTAATCAGTTACTTCTTTAACCTAAAACAGTTCTCAAGTAATAGTGATAACAGCAAATACATTAACACTAGGTACTATGTACTGTTTTACTCTAAACACATTATACATATTCACCCACTTCATCCAACAACCCTGAGTAATATGATGTATTATCCCTATCTTACAAGATAGAAAATGAGGCTCAATGAAATTAACTAACTAACTAGGCCAAGGTTACTCAACCATTAAGTGGCAAAATTGGAATTTAAACCCAAGCAGTCTCAAGTCTATTATTAAACATTACACCATACTTCCTCTCTTGAAAAGTGACCTTAATAGAAACAAGTAACACTGCTAAGCGGCAAGTATATCCCTATGAGAGTTGCCAGCAACACAAAGAGAAAGGCAGAACTAAAGAGTAAGCAAGAAGTAGGAGTAAAGTTCACTTCTTGTTTCTTCATGCTACGTATAACTAATAAATGTTAATGCAAGAGGGAAGACCAAGAAAAATTAATATGAGTTTGCTGTTCCCCTTTCTGTTTACCCAAAAGACTTTCACTTCTTAGGATTCCCAATCTGAGCTCAATAATTCTTTAGAAACTGGTTATGGGTCCCTAGTTAAGAGCCTGAGTTCTGAAGTCAAGCTGGCTCTACCACACTCTAGCTAAATGAGCTTGGGCAAGTTCAGTATTTTTGAGGCTCTTCTTTCAAAAAGAACAAAGGCAGCAGTTAAGTACTATCTGAAAAGGGTAAAGTGATGGGAACAAGACAATATATGTAAAAATAAAACAGTACATGCACTTAGTAAAGGCTTAATAAATGCTATTAGTTTTGACTGAGTAAATGCACCTTGGGTCAGTATAAGAACTAACAACCCACTTAAAAAGGAACACATAAATTTTAATTATTAAATTTAATTTTAAGCTATAAAACTCATTGTTCAATAGCACAAATGTCAAATTTTTAGCTACTATTACAAAGGGGGTCATTTGGACCCAGGCATGTTACAGCCCCATGCCTGTAATCCCAGTACTCTAGGAGAATGAGGCACAAGGATGGCAAGTTACAGCCCAGCCTAGGCAATTAAGTGACAGTGAGGTCCTGTCACAAAAATTTTAAAATTTAAAAACTTAAAAAAAAAAAAAAAGAAAAAGAGGGGATAGGGATTTAGCTCAGTGGTTCCGCCACCTGCCTTCCAAGTGGAAGGTCCTGAGTTCAATCCCCAGTAAAACAAAATATATCCTGTTAACCTCCTCTTAGGGCCAGGGATGTAGCAAAGTGGCACCATGCCTGACTGGCAAGCACTACGGTCCTGAGTTCGATCCCTGGTGGGGGGGCCCTTCTGTTAAATTATATCAAATCACTGCAGCAGGAAAGAACCAATTATCATGGTCCTACACAGGGTAGCTAGAAATTACACCAGTAACTAAAGACTAATATTCATTTGTACCACATTTTAGAATGGGGACTGGGCAATTTATAGCATAAAAATGATTCTACCAATCATAAGGGGGGAAAATTGTGAAATAACAAACATCTACATTCCTTCCCAATATCTATCCCTCCATCAGACAACCATACTAATACCCCTATTTTCGAAATTCTTAATATTTTGGGGATCAAACTGCACTTTGAGAATCTTCAGAGTTAAAGCCCATGAAGTTTTGTGGGGTTAATGAACTATAGAGTTAAAGAGGCTATGATTCCATCATGACACATATCTGTAATCTCAGGAAGTTGATGCAAGAAGATCCTAAATTCAAGGCCAGTAGAGACAACTTACCAAAACATTGTCTCAAAATCAAATCTTAAAAGGACCAAAGAGATATTATTAAAGTGCATTATTAAAGTGTAGGTCTGGCTCACACAAAGCCTTGTGTTCAATTCCCAGTAAAAGGAGACAAAAACAAAGTAGGTACTGAATTCTCAATTTAGTATCATTATTACCATCTGGTTCCCAACTGCACACCACAGATAATTCCTGGGGAAAGGATTTTTTGGAGGAATGGGAAGATCCGAGCAATAGATGTCCTAGGGTTCTCGTGGCCCAGGTTCATTTCACACACAATTCATAAAAGACTGAAGATTATTTGCTAGCACTTTTTTTAATTGACATTCAAAATCAGACTATAACACCTATAAAACTAAGCATTAACAGTAAATTAATGCTTAATTTCCAATATGGAAAAAAAAAGACATCAAGTATTTTCTTAATTCACTGTGGTAGTATTTCACCTTTATCTCCACTTCCTGGCACAGAGCTCATAAATCCTGAGAGCATCCTGAGTGATGAGTCTCTGAGTCGCTAGTTATTTGTAACAACACAAAATCACACCTAAATTTATGCTATTATGGTAAAAATGAATGGGGTTCCTAATAGCCTCAGGAAGGGGCTAGTCACCAGACACAGTAAGAACTGAGAAAGTTGTAGTTTTCAGCCCATCCTCCAACCTCCAAGGGAAAAGA